CTGCCCCTCTGACCTCTCCAGTTCTCTAGGCTTGTGCTTCCACCAGCTGTCCGGCTCTCTGAACAGCACTTTATAGCCATGTCTCAGCGCCTAGGACGGAGAGGGCACTGGTCAGTCTCTGAGGCCATTAAACTCCTGTGTGGTCAAGCAGGTCTAAACATTTGCTGCAATAACTGTTCCTCAAATCTAAGGTTTTCTGCGGTTTATTGCATTCTCTGGTATACTGACACCGCTCTGAATGTCTGAAAATGCAGACAGGATAGAAAGAAAACTTTAACATGCTTAGCTCCGTGACAATGCAGCAAAATTGATGCTTAAAAATGGGTTTTACGAAGCTCTTCCCATCATTTACCGACTGACCTGAGCCACATAGGGCTTCATCTCCCAGCCCTGCATGTTGGTGTTATCGATGATGATGGGGTGGGTGCCCTTCTTGAAAGCCTCTCTGGCTGCAGTGCAAAGGTGGTGCGAGAGAAACAAGGCATTTGTTGTGAAACTGAACAGCAATCGATTGCAGAGATACAGGAAGAAAAAGCAGACAGGGGTCATTCAACTTGTGGTCACTCTACGACTTCGTCTAAGTGCAGCTCGTGTGCCATGAACCTCGCTTGTGGTTCCACTCGTGGGCCTCCCCCAGCATCGCCGGGTCAAACCGGTACCCTCCATTGTGGGTGAAATAGTCGTCAGTGCTTAGTATTACTCCACCGGGGTTATTGTGCAGCAAGGCTCTGCAGGGGAACAAAAAGAAAAAAAAAGTATTTTAGGTGATGTTACAGCAGCTGTAGCGGAGGTCCAAGACTCCCATGTTACAGAAGTATAGGCGCAGTCCACCTCAATCACTTGTGTTTCACCACTTTTTATTTTTAGACCCATACGATTGCTTTGTTTTGTTTTTTTAAAGCAGAAATGTAAAAGATGAATGTCAGCACCATTTGCTGGGCTGTAAACTGCAACGAGGACAAGGTAGGTATATATATATATGTAATAAAAAGAATTTTATAAAATATTTTATTTTTTTCTCTGTAAGTCTTGAAAGATTTGGAAATGTTCGCTGTCAACACAGCTCCTCTCACAGCTCAGTAAAGTTTAGTTTTTCGTCTTTACCTGCATTGGTCTCAGAAAAGGACACTTTTCAAAGAATCCCAAAACTTCAATAAAGAAAAAAAAGTGGATAAAGCACATCTGAAAGATTTATTAGGGCTGTGTCTTTTTGTTTATTAGTTTGGTCTCCCAGTCACCACTCAATCACAGCCAATAGCTTCAATACAATATTAGATAGAAGATTTACTGATCTGAATGTTTACCTTGCCAGGGTGGTTTTGCCAGATCCTGGAGCACCACGGAGGAGCACGAGCACTTTCCCCTGCAAACGGAGCTTGTTGAGCTTGACAGGGGCCTGAGGAGAAGAGGGCCGGTTCCAGGCCTTTGGGATAGTAGCAGTAGGTTTGAGGGGGGCCTGGCTGACAGCGCCCTGGGTGAGCCAGGGGGAGGCGTTCCTGTTCAGGCTGAGCCAGCAGGGGGGGGTTTGAGCCACAGGGGTTATGAAGGCGGGTCCTTCCTTTCCGGGCAAACGGGGAGAAAACACGGGTGCCTCCAGGTTCCAACATGGTCCCAAGAGACTAGGTGGATTGTTGTTTAGCGAGCTGGCTACAGAACTGGTTCCGCGGCCTGCAGCCTCAGGTCCTGCAGGTGCAGTCTTCTCTGACAGAGAGGGAGGCGGGTCCTGCTTTTTATACACCTGAAAAGCTGAGGGGCGACCAAACGCTGACAGATTCCAAGGAGGTTTGGGCTTGTCGGAAGGCATTTCTGTCATCAGGTGTTTAAAATCCAGCACACCTCCCTGTGGCTCAGCGGTGTTGTCCTCCCATGCACTGACCTGATTGGGGGGCAACAGAGCCCCAGATGAAGGCTCCACCAAGCCTCTGGGTGCAGCATCGGGGCCCCACTGAAGATGCTCTGGAGGTGGAGGGAAAGATTTTGAAAACAAGCAGCTGTGCTGCTCCCCCCTAATGTCTTGCTGCATGGTCAGTGTATCCAACTCTTGGTCAATAAGCAAGTCCAGCTCCTCTGTCAGCAGGTCAGTGGGTAGAGGTGAGGGGGGCTGTTGCGATGAGGACCCCAAGCCTCGGCCTGGGTCAGAAAAGTCTTGGGAGCTGATCAAAGCTGCAGCGGTGTGCTCGAAGCCTGAAGCCGGAGCCGGGATTGGGGCCGCACCCTCAGCCGCCACAGACAGCTCCAGGAGGGAGTCCATTGCGTTTTCAACTACGATGCACAAAGAAGACAAGAAGAAATAAATTAATTCACACATAATTTCCTCCATTTTTTTCTCTCCCAAAGTTTGTAGAAACATGGAATCAATATCTCAAACATAAGACAACAAAGCAATTCAGTGGGGAGCCAAGTGGGAACCCAAAACAACACCTTACAGAAATGGTCAAACTACTAGTCATGACATTTTGAATGGCTGACAATTAACACACTGTTGCTTTTACTGCCCTGTAAAAAAAAAGAACTTTTGGTAACTATGCAGGCCATTTCTTTCTTATCAAAAACCGAGAATCACTTCATGTTTAGCTATAACTATAACTCTGACAGGGGTCTAACAGACATAACTACATAGTTTCTGTCAACTCGGCAAGACCTATAGCATTCCCACGGCTCTGAACCGGGGCAACAGGTGGAAGAAGAAACGTAGACATGTTTACCAGGAGAAAATGATAGGCTCAGCTTTAGGCTGTCAGCAGTACAACTGATATGTAACTATCACGGGGCAGTTATCGTGTGCTACAAGCGCTTTAACCCGAAAGCGAGTCAGCTAACTATTTAGCCAAGTTTCACCGCCCACGTTTCACCGGTCAGGCAGCAGGTTGGACAACCGAGCCTTCGTTTGTTGTGGTACCTTTAAAGTCACACTCGGACAACACGATGTGTATGACATCCGGGTCCAGGTGGGAGAACATCTCCCGCATGCTCTTCACGATTTTCTCCTTGTCAGCGGAGCTGGGCGCCAGGGTGCTAAGTGGGAAGTTGTTGTTTGCCATAGCTTGGTCATGTCCCGGACGTAGTGGGTATCCCGTGTAGGGGCCCAGGCTTCCTCCCTCCGGCGGCCCCCCGGGCTGCCTGGCCGGGCTCTGGCCGTTTTTCTTTCTCCGAGGCATACCGTAAAGCGGGCGCCTGCTCTCATCAGCCACTAAAGGAGTTAACTACCCGCTGGTAAGGCACATGAGGGAGGCCCGAGACTCCAAGCATGCTTCTGACATTGGCTCTACACAACAAAACTACAGCAACTCAAGGTTATCATACCCAACAGCGCTCCAAGCGGTGGAAATTCGACAGAAAACATAAACGACAGAAAACATAGGCTGCGTCCAACGTTGGTGTACAACACCGGATGTAGTTACCTAAAAAAATAAAAGCTTGGCCTCCTTGTGTGTTCGAAAATTTCTTATGTAATCTAACTGTTACCATTTTACAATTTAAGGCTCAAACACTCAGACTCGGAGAACGTCTCTAATCTGATTACCCTAAAATAGTGTTAACTTGATTGAAATTGATTAATATTTAATGTAGTGCCACTATCACAATCCACATGTCACCAGTAGTTACGACGTAATAGATACTGGCTCAGCGATGACAGTTGTGTTTTTTTAATCCCGACTATGAACGGAATTAAAAGCTACATTCAACTATTTGTTTTCAACTACTGATATCTCTATAATTATTGCTTTTATTTTTGTAAGTCGTAGTGTATTTGAATTTACATATTTGTGGACAAACGTGTCGAATAGATTTTAGCAACGAAAAACATGTTTTCTATGTTAATTTTAAAATAAGACAATGCGGAATTACTGTCACTGGTGCAATGGGTTAATGAAGTGAAGAAACTTTAGTCGGTAGGTGCTATTTGTTTCCAAATCCCGCCATGAATTTGGAGCTGTGTGCTCCAGAGAGACCGAGGGGGGCGCTCTGCACCCATCTTTCACACAGCCAGCATTGACTGAACGGAGACAGAGCTTTGTGCCGAAAACTAAGCTCAACCTGAGTCAGACTAATGAATTAAAACGGCCCATTTGAGAGGTAAATACTAGTGTGGGCGCGTTTGCCAAGCGTCCCGGGTTATATGTCGTAGCTGTTTATCTGGAGATATTTTTATTTCGCATTTGTTGGGGTGTTTAAAACCATCCGTGGGGCAAGTTGTTGGTGAGAGAGGAGGGCTCAGGGCGACGGTAGCAGCTCTGCCTCGCCTGTGAACTAGCGGCAGTACGGAGAGATGCTTGGAAGTTGGAAAAAAGACTGTAACAAGTAAATTAGCTATTTTTTTCTACTTCCCAAAGTAGTTTCATTAGTCGGAACCCATGGGAACTAAGCACGGGAATGGCTATTTAAGGAAAAGATGATAGGATACTTCACTTCCTCAGTGATTGTCTGTAGACCGAGATGTGATGGGTACCTGGACAGTTTGCGGCCTAGGCTAGCGAAGTAGGCTAACCAGATAGCACGGCTAACGCGTATTAGCCGCTCTCTGCTAACTCTACTTCCTTCCCGCAAAATGCTAACCTATGTTGTTTGCAAGGCAGCTAGCACGCTAGCTAATTTGATAACCTGTATGACAGTAGATAGACACCGGCTACCCTCGTGTTGATCGGAAAGTGGTTTTCCGACAAAACTGCTCTACAGATTGGCATAATATCATCGAAGCGGTGGGAGAATTCGTTTCTGTGTACAGTCGTTTGTTTGTGAAAAAAATATACGGAAAATGCAGACCTGATGTTTAGCTGAGGTAATTTAGCATACAGGCTAATAAGATGCACGGTGTTGGTTCAGTGATGGCTTTCTCTGCCAGAAGAGTTTTGGACGCAAATGTCGTTGAGTGTATAGGTGTCATTTGAGCAGTTTTGTGGAGCGGAAGCGATGTTTAACTGGGCAGAATGATGCTTAAAGCCAGGTTTTGGTAAGTGCGGTAGCATGGTTGTGTTGAACTTTTGTTTTCTGACCCATAGAGGCCAGTAGAAGACCGTGTGGACCATACATCAACGAGCATGGAGTTCCCGCAACAGCAGAAACCGGCGGGGGATGGAAAGATTATCTATCCGCCCGGAGTCAAAGAGATTACTGACAAAATCAGCAACGATGAGGTGGTCAAACGATTAAAGGTACGGAAAGTCACGTTCATTGTCCCCAAACTCAAGCAACAGAAAGAAGCTCTTGACCCATTTTGAAGTGTTAAGTCTCTGACATAACACCCAAACCCCTTAGCTTTGTAAACTCACACCTTAAGTCATCAGTGGCACTGTTTTGGCACACTGTTATGTGTATCATGACTGTGAGCAGTTTTCATCCTATTGTTGAATTGAATTAGATTAACTTAATTATCTGCTTACTTGATAATTGTGTAATTGAAAGCCTGGAGCTTAACACATGATATTTACCATTTGTGCCTCCATTTCAGAGTATGTTTCATGGTCTCACACCCACTATGTATGACAAACATGTTTGTGTTTACGATACACTTTAACCTACGCCAACTCACAAGGATACAAGAGAATCAAGTGCACTTAGGTTATTTACAAAATACAGTTGTACTATTAACAGTCTGCTGGAGGTGGAAAGCAGATCTTCAGGTTGGTTTATAAGAAACGAAAGAGAAAGATAAGTGTTGTTAGTAATGATGAGAGGAGGAAAAAGGTTTTTAATAGGGAGGAAAACAGTCTGGAGTGCTGTGCTCTTGGTGGTTGGGTGGCAACCCCAGACAATGTTCTTTGGAGGGATGAAGGAGCTGTGGGTTGACCTGGGTCTTTATGAGAGTGTTGAAGTTGTACTGCTGTGCAGACCTGTGTATTTGTATTTGACATGAGCACCTACAGGTAGCAGGTGTAGCTCAATGAACAGCGGGGTTGTCCAGCGTTCTGGACCATTTGCATTGGTTTCAACATGGAGGCTAGGAGGCCTGACAGAAAGGCATTGCAGTCAAAGTGCCTAATAACCAGGCGACAGTAACTGGAGCTGGGTAGCTTGTTTTGTCATGGCTGGCCTGATCTTTCCTATGTCAAATGGTGGATAGTGCTAAGACCATGTATCAGACACCACACGATCAGAGACGGCCAGCCGGTCATCAGTCACAGCACCCAAGTGCCTCACAGTCCGAGAGGTCAAAAGGGATTGTTGATTTGTTCAACCTCTCTGCGTCTTACCTTTACATACTCTTTCCTTCTTACATACCAAAAGCTAGAGCACAGCTGAACTGTCAGGGAGTCACATGATTCAATAGACTCCTTCACGTGAACCCCGCCTGTTTTTAAAATGCAGCCAAAAACAACAATAGTCCAGCTTTATTATGCGTGATCATAGCTGCTATAAATAACTAATACGCAGACCAAGACGACGGTTTAACACAGAGGTTTAGTTGGTATATCATTGCTGTGACGTATCTTTCACTGTGTTCCGATGTTTGTGTTGCTTGTAGATTGTGTCACAGGCTGGTTCTCCCAGCATGTCTGTTCTGACCTCATTTGTAATTGAAAACCATCTAAACCGAGTTCGGGCGAGGCGTATAGAGTCGCACAGGTCTTTTAAGGTATTAATGGAAACCCTCCCCCTATTCAATCCAGTGTGGTGTTGTTTTGGACATTACTGTAGAATGGAGGGTCGGGGTTAGGGTTGGGCAGCAAGTGATTATATATCAACCGAAACTGTTTCGCTTTGGTGGATCCAGACAAATTGAACAGACCTGGTTTGAATTTTATTGTTTTATTTGCCCAACCGAAACCACTAAAACCGCACAATGACCAAACATCTGGAGCCAAACTATGAGCAATCTAACCCCTTTAGAGACAAATCCATTTATGCACTGCAGACTACTGGAAGTCCAAGTAAAGGCTGCACCACATAAAGCACATCTGATTATGAAAGATATGTGGACTTCATTGGTAAATTAAGTTGGGTTACGCGTACTCTGCACCAGATGCAGCTTTTCGTATTCATGTTTAACAGCTGTTCAATACACGTTTGAGTGTTAAAAAGGTGAATTGCGATGAAATTGCCAGGCAAGGATAGATTATTAAATCAAATAGATTATTAAAGGCCATGAGCTGTGTTCCAATTGGCAGGGTGCCCCTCGACTTGTACTAACTCGACTTTACCTTCCGGCACTGTTAACACAGCAAACAACCATGGCCTTGGCGGCAAAAAGTGGGCGGAAGGGCATGTTGTTGAATGTCCAAGTCAGATGTTTATAGATCATTTGAGTCAAAAGACTGACATTAAAAATACGATCTGTGGCCTCGGTCACATAGTCGGAGAGACACCGGCAGCATAGCATTTAATAAGGTGGTAGATTATAGGGCAACACAGTTTTCAAATACAGACCACCTCCGTCACGAAACCAACGCCCTAATTCTGTAGTACAGAGAAAGATTTATACTGTTTTAATCTGATAATGTTCCACGTCATATGGCTTTGACCTCAATTCATTCAGAATTGTTTTGGTGTTTTTAAACATCGTACAGATACGCTTGCTGCACTTATTACGTCCACATTTGCTCTCAGCTTTAGCTGTTGAATCATTTCCACAGCAGCACCAGATTACTGATATTAGCCTTATCTTTTGGGACAGTTAAAGCCTGTCGAAAAATGAATTGGCTACACGAAGATACCAGAGGATATAGCTCCTTAAAGACGCTCTCTGCTGTGTGTGTTTTTAGAAACAATTTTGCGTGTTTCGTGTAGAGCCAGGAAGTTTGACCGTGCAAGCGTCCCGCAGCAGAGGCAGCGCTCTAAATGCTCTGACAAACAAAGCTCCACTGTTGGGCTGATTTTCTGAAAAAACATTTTTCCCACAAATTAATGAAAACTTCAACAAGTTCTCAGTTTTGTTTCTGCTTTCCGAACTCCAGACACGTTTGTGCTGGAGAACTTCCTAGTGTGTGTGTGTGTGTGTGTGTGGTTGAGTTGCTGTGGACATGAAACGTGAACCGTTATGTCGCTTGCGTGTTGGTATTCACAAACTAGGACACATCTGAGATCAATGACGTGGTTGTGACCGATCAGGAAAGCTCTCGGAATCATGGTCCCTGGTCGACACTTTGTGTTTCAGGCTGTCGTTTTTCGGTTATAAAAGTACTTTAACAGGATGTCTGGCCCCGTTACCTGCCAAGTGCCATAAATCGTACAGACCCCTGACGTTTACAGGATAGCGAAGACTGCGAGCGTTCTGATGAACCTTGCTCTTATATAACCGCTGATCGGAAGCATGGAGCCATGGCCAATGCGTGAAGATGTGTGTCCAACTCCATTTCACCCTGCCAGGAAAGCCAATGTTAGCCTGCCAGCTATTTTCATACGCTCTTAACCTATGGGGTAGATGCATTTAAAAGCATGCTTTCAGTCTAAGCCTTCGTAGATTCTCTCTGTGGTTTAAGCATCGCAATATGCCGTCATAATACACAGAACAGCTTTTGTATGTCACTTCAGTGTTTGACATCGTCCTGTTTGGGATAGATTCTCTGTGTTTGTGCAAGGAAATACATATCTGGTTTTGATAAATTGCATTAATTTAGCTTTACCGTAGAATAGTTGCAAACTTGAGTTGCGTGTTATCATCGTGTTTAATGTGATGTAACATTGAACACGTGATGTGTAGCCTTCAATTTTATTTGTTTTATGATAATTGTCTGTGTTTTAGGTCCTACTAGACAATTGAACAGGCAGCATAGGACCAGTGAGGGTCCTCGTGGTTGTCATATTCGCTCTTTATCACCAAAAATGAGATGTACAGTGATTCATTCCTCCGTCGCTGTCATACCAGCAGTGTCATATGGGAAGTGTGAACCTTAGAGGACATGTTAAAGATGAGGAACACAGAGCAGCAGAAGTAGGGTAGTTTGACTTCTGATCAGCTGCTCATATGATTCCAGTTTGCGTAAATCACAGGGCAATAAACAGTCCTCTGGTGTTTCTAAAACGAATAGCCAAGGCACATATTTGTTTTTTCTTCCTCACATGAGCCAAGCCAAATTTGAAAGCTTTTAAACCTTAGCCGAAGCCTCTGCTTCCCATTTCTTATTACTTCCAAACACTCTCACCCACTGCTTTTTTATAACTTATGCAAAGGACTGTTTGTTAGGCTAATATGAGTTTTTATGGGAAAAGAACATTTAGTTATGGAAACATTTGAGTGCTGGAAGCGCTTGAAACAACGTGCGGCTCTTCTTCTGACAAATCAGCCATGATTAGTGTTGACAGTCCTGAGGTGGCATAAAAGATCCAGATTTCATGGAGTTAGCAACAAACTGTAGTGAAATGAAATCACTCAGGTTTCTAAGCCTGTAGAAAAGCGTTTAATTTTTTTTGTTTTATGTCATCTGCTGTTAAGTTTTTTTAAGTGTTTTGAGAGGAATATGAAGACTTCAGCACCACATTGTGCTGCATGTATTATCCAGTCCTGCTGCTGACATATCTAAAGGCTTTAAATGGGAGAAATCAATTGGGAGATTTAAGATGGTGAAGTCTCAGTGAGTCAAAGGTCCATTTGCATGGGTTAATGAATGCCTCAGCACAATCATAAATGGAAAAAGGATTTACAAGGAAATAAAACCTCTTTCAATTCAGCTCTATCACATAAAGGCGATGGCTGGGATTCTGAAGGCACCTCGTGACCCGATTCATTTATTTACGGTTGTAAAACCCCCTGTGTGACCACTTGTCAAGAGTGTTGCTGTTTCTGGACAGCGGTTTTTATTTCTGAAGCAAAGCGGGGACGTGGCCAAGCGGAAGGCCGCGTCCGCACACATATTTTGCACTCACGGAAAAAAAGACGCGCCTTCAGCATCGCGCTTTTCTTAAGTTGACGCAGATGTTGGAGTGTTCCGAATTGCTGCTCAAAATAAGCGCCTGGTAAACAACATTGTGTTCTGTGCGGTGAGTAAGCGCACTCACCCACCGATGGATGCTGCCGGTTCAAATGGGAACCAACCTGCCAATCTCCTGTGAAGAAGCGCACAGTTAGGGTGACTTGGCTTTTTCTATGGAAGTTTCAGCTAAGCTACATACTTTCCAAAATGATTCTGCGACTTTTCCCTGTGGATTGTGGGAATACGCGTGTCAGCAGAGCTTCTCTGAGATAAGATAGTGGATCACAACACTGCAAAGTTCTGTAGAGTTATTTGTCTCAGTATGAACTTTATACATCATAATAAAATGCAAAAGTCAATTTTTTTGTGTGTTTGTTTTGTTTTCTCGTTTCGTAGACAAAACATATTTGGGCTTCATCGTGTTTCCAAACTATTCCGAAACCTTAGAACTCCCATATGCTATCTCTCTGCACAGAGTTGCTGGTCTGATTCCCGGCTAAGAAATGGAAGCGTCTCTACAGTGTCATTTTGACACTTTAAAAAATAATTGTTTTACTTGTTTAACGCCTGCTCATCACTTGATAATTTTTATTGTTATTTCCCTCAATCCTCTTGCCTTAATAATGTATTCCGGGATGGATGGTGCTCTCAGTCTGCACCATTTTGGCCGTGAGCCCTACAGTAAATGTAGTTTTAAAGAGATGCTCCGGCAGCCTGCTCAACAGGCCCACACACCAGCCTCTGTTCCGAGAGCTGTCCTCAGCTCCCAACACCGAGGCTTTGGGCGAGGGAGCCAGCCAGCCAGAGAGTGAGTGTTTGTGTGTGTGTAGGAGTGAGTGCGCTGCTCTGCAGTCTGTTGAGCCGATGGCCCATCCCCCACCCGTGCTGGCTGTCTGACTGTTGGGAAAGCTGTACAGCTACACTTCAACTCTCACATGCACACCCACAGAGGAAGTGGCTGCTCAAAGCCCGACACACTGGTGCATATCCACCAAAAACGGGTGATTCGATAAGACAACCGCACCGGTGCGCCTGCTCCTTTCCTTTTGGTTTGGAAAGGGAAGGTGTAATTGAGTTCATTTGAAGTATTGTGAAGACAAAGTTGTTTTTGTTCAACTTTTAATTAGATCATAAACAATAACACAAACTGACAGACATGAGCTATTTTTGTAAACTGCCCTCATCATATTAGTGTCAAAAACAAATACTCACATTCATGTAAATCAAACACAACTACAGAAAAAAGATGATATGCACTCTTTTTTCAATGTTGTTCTGTTGAAGAATCCCTGCTGTAAAAAACCTGCTTAGTTCATGTAGGCTTGATAATTTACAAGGCAATCATCCCAGTGAAGGCTCTGTTTAATAAGAGGTGACACAGTTTCTCTAATCGTGGACCTTGTTTTTTTTTTAACCATCACTTCTAATTAGGTCAATGATAAGAAGATAACCCCTTTTTCAATTTAGCATCTTGAAGTTTTTAGTATATGAGTATGTTTCCCAGACAGATGTAGGTGGAGGTAAACCTTACTGACACAGTTCTTTTATGTTTTTTGGTGACTAGTCTCTTGTCATTCCAGTTTTTGTATTCCTCCCCTGTAGTTGTTTAGTCATCCCTGCCTTTGCTTTTTCGTCATATTTGCCCCGTGATCGACATTAAAACACACAGCGATAAATATTGTTCGACTTGTAGACAAACCTTTATTGCTGTCCATGGTCTCCAGTCACCCTATAGTGGGTTCACCTCTGCTTTCTACTGCACGCAGTCCCTCAGACCGTAGTTCTGCATCGACATGGTGGAAACCTTCCTTCATGTTTAAAAGTTTTTGGGTCTTCTAAAAGTTTTGTTGTCATCTGATAATGGAAATAGATGGCTTTTAAAAAATTGAGCTGATTGTGATGTGGCACCCAACTTCCCGTCTCGCTGCGTTTAACAGATGGTGGTGAAGACCTACATGGACATGGATCAAGACTCTGAAGAGGAGAAGCAGCAGTATCTCGGCCTGGCACTCCACCTCGCCTCAGAGTTCTTCCTTAGGAACCCCAATAAAGATGTGCGGCTGCTGGTCGCCTGCTGTCTGGCTGACATCTTCAGGATCTACGCCCCCGAGGCCCCGTACACCTCCCACGACAAACTCAAGGTCTGGATTTATCTATTTGGCTCACGCCATCCTGAAGGGGAATGCGTTTAGGGGAAGTTCAGAACTTTAGCGGTCACTCATCTTGATAAGAACCCATCTCATTTTCAGTCTTGTATATCAAAAAAGTTATTAAAAATTAGCATTAATTGTAACAGCAGAAGAAGTTTTACACACTGGAACTTTTACTGCCACATAACGCTGTTTATTTGTCAGTCTGTAAAAATCGTTCTGCACCGACCAAATATAAACTACTGAATCATGTAATCGAAATGACTCTCCTCTCCAGGACATCTTCCTGTTCATCACCAGACAGTTAAAAGGACTAGAAGACACAAAGAGTCCCCAGTTCAACCGATACTTTTATCTTCTGGAGGTGACGCTTTCTTTTTCTTAAAAAATGTTGTTTGGATAGAGGGAAAATGCAATTTTTAAAAATGTGTTTATTTATTTAAAGAAAGTACATCTGTCTGATTATCACAAGTTTGGATTGTAAATAAAAGAAAAGACATGGTGGATTTGATTGTTAAAGATGAGGTTTTCTTGTGTTCCCTTAAGAACTTGGCCTGGGTGAAGTCGTACAATATCTGCTTCGAACTGGAGGACTGCAACGAAATCTTCATCCAACTCTTCAAAACGCTCTTCTCTGTCATCAAGTAAGGCCCTGGTGGTGTTTGGCAAACCTTTTCCTGAATCTGGGGGAAAAAAAACTCCTAAATTCCATCAACCAGAAGGTTACTTTGTTTTCCCCTGAGTCATTTTGTATCTCCCGTCGTCTGCAGCAACAGCCATAACCAGAAGGTGCAGATGCACATGATGGACCTGATGAGTTCTATCATCATGGAGGGAGACGGAGTCACGCAGGAGCTGCTGGACACAATCCTAATCAACCTCATCCCTGCACACAAAGTAAGCCTCGCGTTTGGAAATCCCATTATCAGAGTAACATTGAAGTGGTGAGGCCAAAGAGATTTGGAGATCCGGTTGCTTTTGTGATTTTATTCTATTTGTTTAAACACCGGTGGATTCTAATGAGCGTTTCACCCCTCCTGGAACAGAATCTGAACAAGCAAGCGTACGATCTTGCAAAGACTCTGCTGAAGAGGACGGTCCAGACCATCGAGACGTGCATCGCCAACGTGAGGAGCTTCTTCTTTTCAGTTTCATTTCCCCGATTGTAGTTTTTCCCTGCTGGGTTAGCTATCCTCTCTTCATATCCATAGCTGGTCTTCATCAATAACCCTTAAAACTCCGTCTTGTTTCTCCAGTTCTTCAATCAGGTTTTAGTGATGGGAAAGTCCTCCGTCAGTGACCTCTCCGAGCACGTCTTTGACCTCATCCAGGAGCTGTTTTCCATCGACCCCCTGCTGCTTACCTCTGTCATGCCGCAGCTGGAGTTCAAACTCAAGGTAAACACAGCCCAAGCTTGGACCTTTTGATATTAGTTTTTTCATTTTTAAAGGGGTAGATAAAGATGTTTAGTAGCTATGTTTGTTTTTAATTCTGTAATGAATTAATGGGAACAATTCCACAGTAACTTAATATATTACAAACGATCACAGGGCCATAATGGAAAACGCAATATAGTAAAACACATGGAAGCAACGGTTATATTTAAAATTTTTCTTTTTTAAATAGTTTTTGTATCGCCCTCTTTAGCTCAAACTTAGTCACAACTCTCCAGAAACAGGGGATTTTTTAAAATCTTTTATTTTAATGTTTTGAATTTAACAGTCACTGGCTATACAGGCAGGAAATCCTACAACATATAATCAGAACTCAACCAGACCTCTGCTTCCCCCGTCTTAGTCCCGTAGCGGTCATGGACATGAGGAGGTTTAATTCAATCGGGCATCGAGCTGAGCAATGGCCACATTAAGCCGACCAACAGATAATAAATAATGCACACTCGCCTCCTTTCTGGGCTGTCCAGTGTAGCTGTGGTGCATTGCTCTCTGACTACATGCACATTCCACACACGCATTTTTATGCCCTCTCTCTATGTTTGCATTATGAAAAGAAATAAATAAGTTTGAAGAACATGAATCATTAATGATAAATAATAATAATAAAGCTTTTTTTTTTTAATCAAACATTGCAATCCATTTCCAAATCTTTTGGTTCGCAGAGCAACGATGGCGAGGAGCGACTGGCCGTTGTGCGGTTGCTGGCAAAGTTATTCGGGGCCAAAGACTCGGAGCTGGCCTCGCAGAACCGACCGCTGTGGCAGTGCTTTTTAGGACGGTGAGCAACTCCCGACACGTCTCGCGACGAAGGCTGTGCAAAGTCGTCAAGTAATAGCGGGCCAGTAACGGAAATGTTCCCCCAGGTTCAACGATATCCACGTCCCAGTCAGGCTGGAGTGCGTGAAGTTTGCCAGCCACTGCCTCATGAACCACCCAGACTTGGCGAGAGACCTGACAGGTGCGCCGTGCCCTCATTCGTGGTTTATTTCGGGGTCTAGATCGGCCGCCTTCCAACTGAAATCGTTCGTTCACGTGCCCCCTAACAGAAAACCCAATCCTCTCATTCAGAATATCTGAAGGTGCGCTCCCACGATCCAGAGGAAGCCATCCGCCACGACGTCATCGTCACCATTATCAACGCCGGCAAGAAAGACCTCAACCTGGTCAATGACCAGCTGTTGGGCTTCGTGCGGGAGAGGACCCTCGACAAGAGGGTGAGACTTATTATTTCCTTTAGATTCTTAGCAGTTGACGTTGAATATTCAAATTCCCGAGCCTTTAATTTGGCCTCCCCCGAATGCATTCCTTAAAAACTCTGCTCTTGAGTACTCTCCTCTCTTTCCCTCCACGTGCAGTGGCGTGTGCGTAAGGAGGCCATGATGGGCCTGGCTCAGCTCTATAAGAAATACTGCCTGCACCACGAGGCCGGAAAGGAGTCGGCCCTGAAGATCAGCTGGATCAAAGACAAACTGCTGCACATCTACTACCAGAACAGCATCGACGACAAGTGAGAACACCCCAAACTGTCCATAACATTTCATTCTTCAGCCCGTCGCCCACAGGGAGAAGCTGTTTGAATGGTTGGATGTAGCGCCTGATGACAGTCGGGTTAATTATGCACCGTCATGACAAAGGTTCATGTTACCAATCTGGGGGCTTTGCCAGGGCCTAACAGTGAGTAAATAAGGCTGTTAGTGAAACACAAAAGTTCAGATTTCAACTGTAACTGTCAGCACAGGGAGTGTGCACGTTGTTAATGTGCATTGACAACATATCAGCGTGACCAACAGGTCCGATGGTGAGATTTCACAGTCTCTGGATTTCTAATTTCCTTTCAAGTCACGCACTGAAACTTTGCCCCTCCAGGTTGTTAGTGGAGAAGATTTTCGGTCAGTTCATGGTGCCTCAAAATCTTGACACAGAAGAGAAGATGAAATGTTTGTACTACCTTTACGCCTGCCTGGACACCAACGCCGTCAAGTTAGTCAATCCGAAGCATTCTGCACATCATTTAAAAAATGGACGAGTGTTTTATGTGCGACCCGTAAATACTGACCTGCTTTTCCTCTGGTTGTAGGGCTCTGAATGAGATGTGGAAGTGTCAGAACATGCTCAGGGGACTTGTCAAAGAGCTGCTTGATCTTCACAAGCTGCCAGTGGTGTGCTGAGACTCATTAACAATTCTTTTCTTTTATAAGTGTGGATGGAATTGGTGATTTTAAAAATATCTCACATGTCTCTCTCTCCCTGTCCTGGTAGTCTGAGGCCAATAACACAGCGATGTTTGGGAAGCTCATGAGTATCGCCAGTAAGTTGGAGGCACACACAGAGAAATTGTGCTGTATCGTTCGTGCCCTGCAGGTTTATTCTACTTAAGTGTTTTCTTCCTACTTTTTAAGGCTCGCTTATTTCTGTTGTTTTTTGTTTCTTTCTTTAGAAAACTTACCAGATGCTGGAAAAGCCCAAGACTTTATGAAAAAATTCAATCAAGTTCTGGGTGAGGACGAGAAGCTCAGAGTCCAGCTGGAGATGCTCATCAGTCCGACCTGCTCCTGCAAGCAGGCCGAGATCTGCGTGGTGAGACGACACTTAGTTCCAGATCTGTTTTGCCGCTCAGCATTTAGTCTTTTAACGTTTGGCGCCCGCACCTCTCAACGGCGCTAGCTTTTTAGCCACAAGCCTCAATGCTTCGGTGTCAATCCAGTGTTTAGGTTCCAGATAAGAAGTGTAAATATGTACGCAGACGTATAAGCACAAACAAGCCTAAGCGTTTGTGTTTACTGTGTGTCGTTTGGATCATGTGCAGAGGGAGATCACTCGGAAGCTGACATTCCCAAAACAGCCCACCAACCCCTTCCTGGAGATGGTAAAGTTCCTGCTGGAGCGGATCGCCCCCGTTCACATCGACTCTGAGGCTATAAGGTCAGAAAGCGTCCGTTTTTTTATTCTGGACGAAGCAAAATATCTGCCTTTCTTAGATCTAAATTTAAGATTCTTGTAAAAAAAAAACTCATTTTTTAAGATGGTCCAGATTGTGTTTTCATTTTAAGAAACTAAAAAAGCTGGCTATTAATGCTGAGCACCAGAAATGAAACGGTCATATAACAGAGCAACAGGGTGTATTCTACTTTCTCAAAGAGCCTCATGTGCTGCCTGTGTTATTGTGTAACACACTACCACCACCAGGCTTTTCCTCATTCACTGAGACACCTAGTGGTGGTGAAGTGTAACTGCGGGCGTCCGCTGGGCTCGGATTTAACCCTTTCTGTTTGGTGGAAAAACACCACTACAGCTCACACTAAAAGGTCACACAGTGATATATTCTTGGCCTAGTGGTTGCTTTTCCAGCTATGAGTTCTTCACCCTGTCAGAAAATCCCAGTGATGCATGTTGTAAACAAAAGGATGGTCTTGTTTGACGTTGACATTTTGGGTTTTTGTTTGTTTTTCTTGTTCGTTTTGTTCCCAGCGCATTGGTAAAACTGCTGAACAAATCTATCGAAGGCACGGCCGATGACGACGAGGAGGGCGTGACCCCCGACACGGCAATCCGCTCTGGACTGGAGCTCCTTAAGGTATGGGCTCAGAGTGAGATGCAAGACATTAGCTGCACACTGAGCTGAAAAACTGCCTTGTTCATGGCGGATAGCTGAGGTACTTGAGGGACCCCATTAGTGTCTGCAAATGACCAAGTTCCCCTCTGGCTTTAGGTCCTTTCGTTCACACATCCCACCGCGTTCCACTCAGCCGAGACGTACGAGTCTCTGCTGCAGTGTCTGAAGATGGAGGACGACAAAGTGGCAGAGGCAGCCATCCAGATTTTTAGGAACACCGGGCAGAAGATTGAGACGGAGTTACAGCAGATAAGATCGTAAGTGGCCGGTGACCAACAGCTCTGTTGACCTTTATCTGAAAAGATTCAAACAAAAAAAACAAAGTAAAAATGCAGCTAAAGTGTTTAGATAGGGCCCTAAATGGAAGAGCTTTGATAACTGAATGATTTTGCTGTGGTGCGTTCATCAGGACGTTGATTCCCATCCTGCATCAGAAAGCCAAGCGGGGCACTCCACATCAGGCCAAGCAGGCTGTCCACTGCATTCACGCCATCTTCAACAACAAAGAAGTTCAGCTGGCTCAGATTTTTGAGGTAAGAGGCGGCCGCTGCAGCTCTGCTGTTCCTGAACACGCTTTTGTGTGGATGCGCTCACATTGTTTCCTCTGTCACCTCCAGCCTCTGTCGCGTAGTCTCAATGCAGACGTCCCCGAGCAGCTCATCACTCCGCTCGTGTCCCTGGGACATATATCCATGCTCGCTCCAGATCAGTTTGCCTCTCCAATGAAATCCATAGTGGCTAACTTCATTGTTAAGGACTTGCTCATGAATGACAGGGTGCGTGGAACAGACACCCATATATGCATTACTACCACACTTTTTACACTATTCATAACGGGACGGCAAGTAAAGTCAGTGCATGACGAGTTGTTGATGAAGCGTGTGTTCAGAGGAAAGTGGGAAAAGGGGGATTTACAGATGTCTTTGTTTCTCCAGTCGGTGGGGAACAAAAACGGGAAGCTGTGGACCACTGATGAGGAAGTCTCTCCAGAGGTGCTAGCAAAGGTGAGACGCACACACGCTGAATAAAGTCTCTCAGTGCGAGCCTTCTATTTTTAAATGGCAGAGTTTTGTAGTAAAGGATTTTTAAAAAAGGATTCTGTGAAGACACTGTGAACAAAAGCTGTCCATTTCCCACAGGTTCAGGCCATCAAGCTGCTGGTTCGTTGGTTACTAGGTATGAAGAACAACCAGTCCAAGTCGGCGAACTCCACGCTCCGCCTGCTGTCAGCCATGCTGGTCAGCGAGGGTGACCTCACAGAGCAGAAGAAGATCAGGTACTCGGAACAGGCCGCTTTGGCCGTTACGTAAGCAAACGACCCGGGAGTTAGAAATGTCTTTTTAAGTGATGGATTTATCTGCTCTCCCTTCCTCACAGTAAATCCGACATGTCCCGCCTGAGGCTAGCTGCAGGTGGAGCCATTATGAAGTTAGCTCAGGAGCCCTGTTACCATGACATCATCACACCCGAGCAGTTTCAGCTCTGCGGCCTCGTGATCAATGTCAGTTATCACCATGTTCTTGATCAAATATTTCATATTTCACACATATCTGCTTGCGTGAATTTGGGCTTCGTTGACACTTGACCCTCCCTCAAACAGGACGAGTGCTACCAGGTCCGGCAGATCTTCGCCCAGAAGCTGCACATGGCCCTCGTCAAACTGATGCTGCCCCTGGAGTACCTGGCAGTTTTCGCTTTGTGTGCCAAGGACCCGGTGAAGGAGCGCCGCGCCCACGCCCGACAGTGCCTCCTCAAAAACATCTCCGTCCGCAGGGAGTACATCAAACAGAATCCCCTCGCTCAGGGTCAGTTTTCAACCTCGAAAATATTTGCTCATAGTTTATATTAAAATGATGAAGGCAGTCAGGGACCTTGGGCTGAGAAAAATAATTCATGTTAAGAATATGCCACCCAAACAACAACAACAGGAAGTAAAGTTTGCCCCTGTTTTTCTTTACCTGGAGGCACTTCAAATGTGTTATCCTCCCCCCCAACAGAAAAACTCGTCTCTCTCCTTCCTGAGTACGTCGTACCATACATGATCCACCTGCTAGCCCACGATCCAGACTTCACAAAGCCCCATGAATATGAACAACTCAAAGACATCAAAGAGTGAGTGTGTTTTCCCTCTGTGTCCAATTTAAAATGAATTTCCGAGATATGCGGAGACGCCACCAGTTTTGACCCAAACTGCATTGTGTGTCTGTTTTGCTTCTCTTTCCAGGTGCCTGTGGTTCATGTTAGAGGTGCTGATGACCAAGAATGAGAACAACAGTCACGCCTTTCTAAGAAAGATGGTTGAGAACATTAAACAGACCAAGGATGCTCAGTGTCCCGAAGACGCGAAGGCCAACGAGGTAAAGGCACACACCGAGAAAACATCCAGACACACATTCGGTTGAGGTTTCGTTGTGGTTTCAAAGCAGAATCCCTTTTCTGTAGCTGCAGCTCCTCTGGATTAGTTTTCCCCGATCACAGAACATTTACTTTAAGGGGGGAGCAGGCTAGTGTGAAGGACGATGTGGAAATAATTACCGATCACAGCTCGCCTTCTGTTGCTCTGCTTCCAGAAACTGTACATTGTCTGCGACGTTGCCCTCTTTGTGATCGCCAACAAAAGCACCGCATGTCACCTGGACAGCCCGAAAGAGCCTGTGCTACCCTCCAAGTTCTTTCTCATACAAGACAAGGCAAGAAATGCACACACACACACACACAAAAGATGCACACAAGCTATGGATATAATAGTAAGAACAATATGTAAATCAAGACATGAAATAATTGTGTATTTTCTTGTTGGTTTTTTTCCAAAACAGGACTTCAAAAATGATAAAGAGTACCTGATGCCCGAGATGAGACAAATGCTCCTCACTGGAAAGGTTGGTGTGGTTTTTCCATATTAGTTTGTAACGTGAGCAGTGTAATGTCCGGCAGTGCAGGATACAAAGATGCAACCATTTATTATTGTGGATTTACGTGGATATCTGAGCATGTTTAAAGCTTAAAAAAAAAAATCATGTTATGCGTTTGAAACCATTCAGGACTCCACATTTTCCCTTGATTTTTAGATCACCAGGATGATAATTTGGTTGGCCAGCTGCTGAGCTAATGGAAATCTGATCGTTTTGGGGGATGAGGTCAATGTTGAGGTCATTACTGTGGGCACTGGGGTGTAGCATTACATGCTTTTAAAGGTTTCATTCAGGCAGGACATTTACACTCTGTCTGGGCGGATTTAATAAAGAAGAGTCGATTATGACGGGCTGGTTAACAATCCCATACTTTTGGATTGTTAATTTCGTCCTTCACGCCAGTCATTAGTTTGATTCTTTCGGTCTACATCTGTGCATCTTTTAAGAGAGATCTTCAGCAATATAGCTGGTAGCATTTTACTGAAGGGCCCACCGTACTGCTGATACCTAACACCTTTACACAAAGTATGTATGCAATAGGAGCAACAGTCACAGATTCATCATATTAAAAGATGAGAAAACACAAACCCCTTTCCAATTCTCCAGTCCTTCAACTTGAGGGCATCCTAGTGAATTTTGGCCGTTTGGACATTTTGATACGTTAAATATTGTGTTCACATGCGAGCTCTAAGACACAGAATGACGTCCTCCTGAGTTGCTGTGCTCTGGTTGTTGTCATGCAGCCGAAACCTGCTCCAGTGCTGGCAGCCGTCAACAAACCCCTGACGGTACCAGGGCGGAGGGTTTTCCCCAAAACCACCGCGGCCTCAGACGCGTCCAGTAACACCAGCACCAACTCCTCTCCGCTGAGCTCCACAATCAACAAGAACAGGTGAGTACGCGCACGGCCCGCTGGGGCTTTATCACGCTCGTGCCCAGAGTAGAACCGTTGCTCAAACCCGTGTGTCCGCAGCTCAACCACCGAGTCCTCGGAGAGCCGAGCCCAGGAAAATAACGAGAACCCGGTCATCAAGAACGACGAGGGCAAGAAGGTAAGCGTGGGCGTCCCCGTGCCACGGCGCCCCCCCCGCTCCCCCTCCTCTGCAGCGCCTCTCTCTCTCTTTGCCTTTTAAAGGACGAGCCCGGTCAGAAAGCGGCTCCCGAAACCAGGACAGAAGCGTCGCCGGCGAAGCGGCGCGGGCGCCCCCCCAAAGCGGCCACCGTGGCCCCGCCGTCGGCCGAGAAAGAGGGAACGGTGGCCGCCGCAGGGGGCGGGGCCGGCAGGGGCAGGAAGAGGGCGGCCGACTCCAACCAGTCCACAGAGTCCATCAACGCCAAGGTGTCAAAGCAGCAGAACGACGAAGGGACAAAGAGACAGATCGACCTGCAGAGGTAAGAGCCCCAAAGCTAAACCCCTCCCAGCCCAGATCCAGCAGACACCAGAGGCCTCCTGCAAACGCCATTGACCCGCCTAAAGTTTGTCAGTTTAAATGTCAGCAGGGCAAACGCCGGTGCCTTTCCCTCCCTTTTTGTGAGCGCGTTTCTGTCTCAGCAGGTGGCCGACTTTGAGCAGAGCGAATAAGACAGGGAGGAAAAGACAGTGGGGCAGATTACAGGGACAGTGACATGGAGCTGATAGAGTCCAGCCCAGAGAGAGAGAGACAGACAGCTCCACCTCTGCCTCACGTAACCAAAGAGACCAAAGAGACGGCGAGTCCACAGGGAGAATTCCTTCAGGCAGGCAGGGAGAGTCTCACTCTGGAGGAAATGCATGTGTACAGGTAGAGAGTCAGTGTGATCGGAGGGAGATTCTTTGCAAACATCTTGTAACCCTTTTTAGTGATAAAAAGATAAGCTTCCTTTTTCATTACTTCTCTATAAGCACACCTAGGCACCTTAATGCTTTGTGACCATTTTCAAGACGGCAGAAACAACACAAGTCACTCAGAAATACACAGAGACCTAATTTAAGCTGCAATTTTAGTCTGAAAGCGTCCTCACATGTTTTTAAATTTGGTAAAGGTCAATAACATCTGCTTGGGTAATGGAGTTGTTTTAGTTTTAGACACGCTTTCTCTGCAGTTCAGCTGAGTTCCTGCTCCATAAATGACACTGTGCCGTTTAGCCCATGAACTGTTTCAGCTATCTAAAGTAAGGAGCAGATCATTCCATTTAGAATTGAAAGAGGCCCCGTTTCTTCACAACTGCGTTTGGCCAAAGGTGTTTATGGCTCGAAGAACAAGTATGACTGACTGACGCTGTTGTTGTTCTCCAGGTAAAGAGAGAGACCACTGAAGGTGAAATGGAGACTGTAGAGAATGGGCCACACTCTTCCTCATACCTCTCCCTACCCCCGACGTACAGGCTCCTCCGACTATTAGAGCTTTCCCGGAGAAATCATGGACCTTTCTTAAAAAAAAAACCTTAAAAAAACACACAAAACAAACACTGAATATACAAACGCACGCACGCACGCACGCACACACCGACTTCCTAGAGGGTTTAAGACACCTTGTAGTCATGGATTTGAAGCTCGCTGTATGTAGGTCTTACAAAGAAACATGATATTTTTTTCCTTTGTGTTTGTTGCTCTTTGCTTCTTTTGTGGAGCCATTTTTAAGAAAAACAAGAAAAAAACTACAGGATGGACATTTTACAAACGTTTTAATCTGGTTATGATTGTTGCTTATTAAATTCCCTGGGATATATCCCACCCTGTTGACTCCCGACCTCTTCCTCTTTGTGTCCGTTGCACGGTGTTGTGGGTGTGGCGCTCCACGGTTTTACAGGTGTGAGTTTGTATCTGCCAACTTTTTCAAAAATATCAAGACAGTTGATTATTTTCAGCGAATCTTTAAAACAAAAAAAACAGTTTTCTAAACTTTGTTACGTTAAGGTGCTTGGCTGTAGCATCACAATGCCAACCTGAGCACGAGGCCTTTAGATTCATTTCCAGCGTGCTGACTGGACAAACTTCGGTCCATCGTTTCTCTAAAATGAACTGGCTTTTCTTTTTTTTTTCTCTTTTTTTTCCATTTAAACAGCATTAATACTCTACTTTGTAACGCATAAATGATCTATTACTTTACATGTGTTTTTGTCATCTTTTTCAGTTACATTTATTTTTATTTTTAAGGATCTTGTCACTTTTCTGTCGGGTAAGTGCTGCCTTTTAGCGTCGAGCGAGAGGAAAACCTTACGGGTTAACAGGTTATTTTTTTGTTGAAGTTAAAAGTATGCCTATTCTCATATTTAAAGAAACCCCCCCTGCCAAAAAAAAAAAAAAATAAAAATTTTTTTTTGATTTGGGTTTTGTTTTGACGGTTGTGTTTTGAGGTGCGGCTTTCAGAAATGCAGGCAAACTTGTTTGTTTTTTCTCCACTTTTTTTCTTTTTTAATCAAAAGGAACATGACACTGTCACAATAAATAACCATGCTGTTTGTACTGCTGATGCTTTCTTCCGCGCAAAAGGAAATAAGTCTCGGTCCAGATGGAGAAACTGAGACGCGACATCCCCCCCTCCCTTTTGTTTTTATGCTTTGTCATCGTGCAATATTGTACATAGAACGCCAGGAAGACGGGGTAGATCCAGCCAGCAAAGGTGCCCCCTCTGTGGTAACAACAGCTCTTTCATAAGGAACCGAAAGCTATTTACAAGGAGATCGTGTGTACATTCTCTCTGCTTCTCCTCTTTCTTTTGTTTTTGGCTCTGCACGCCCGCCTCGCCGTCGGCAGAGGGGAGGATGAACTAACGTCGGGACCGTGGAGCACCGCTGTGCCCAGAGGGGCCGAGTGGGAGGTCAGGAGAAAGGAAAATAAATCTGTAATCGCAGACGACCCCTCGGTCCAATGCATGTGCACCTTTTTTTTTTCTTTTCTTCGCCTCTGTAAACTCGAGCATCATTTTAATTTATGTTCTCGTATCCTTGAAAAACACTGCAATCCTCAAACACAACAGAGGCATTCCAGGCCTCTTAACACTCCAAACATGAGATATCTTCTTTTTTTTTGGCTCTGTCGTAAAGCACATTCAGGTGTGTTGGACATCACCTTTATCTATATCTTTATGGCCAACATTCTGACTCGGTGACCCATTTTGCGCCGTTCCGTCTCCCAATGATTACAGGAGCACTTTTTTTTCTTCATGGGCAGGCGACGATTGCCCACGAACGAGTGAAAGAAGCACCAAGGCACTCAAAGACTGGATCCTCAATGACATCCACGCCACTCAGTTCTTGCTGAGGTGTTCCGTTCATGGCAGGGGAAACGCATTCCACAGAAATGGGCTTGTGGGGAGAAAAGTAAAACAAACACAGAAAAAGGCTCCAATTCCCCCACAGATGAAACTCAAACTGAGTCCCTGTGTCGTTGACATGAAGGGGAGGAATTTGAAATGAACATCCCCCTGACACCGTTTGGCTAAATGAGATAAAGGCAACAGAACATGCAAAGATAAAGACACTAGGAAAAACTGGGTTCGGTTGGAGTAGAGGGGGAAATCGTGTAAAGCTGGTTCTTAAAGTCAACCAAATGAGTCGGGCAAAAAAGGGACTTTCCAATGGTCAACGAAGAAAACAAATATCTCTGAATCTAACTGTAAAGTAGGCATAAATTATATTGAAAATAACTTTTTACAATGCCACCCATGTGTGTAGGGGAAAAAAAATTATATCTCCGTGGCATTTTCAAATGTACACACATATGTACAGTTGACTTTTTACCTCTGGAGTCGATGATGCAGATGTGGGTGGATGTGGACGCATGGCACAAAATCACAACCTTAAAAAAAAAAACATCCCTACTTCTGCAGCGGGCCGACGCGTCTGTCAGGTCAATTTAATCCAGCTAGACTTTTTTTTTTCTCTTAACACTTCTTAAAAGTCTGCAGTGTGACAGCAGTTTGAGGGCTTCTCCCTTAAATTTGACCCTGCAAGATCCACCAGGCGGCGGTGGCTGATTGAGCACGATTTAAAGTTTCAGAGCAAATAAGATGGCGGAGGGTTGGGAAAAAGGGATGGGGGTAGAAAGATGAGCGGCATGGGGGCAAAAGTTTGTTCGAGCTCGTGGCAAGAGCACGTTGGCCTGAGATGAGGGGCGGGAGGGGCCGGATGAGCTCAGGCGGGCAGCAGGGTGGCGTGCGTGTTGGCAACTGTGAAGCCACCGGTGGCTAACTCATCTGTGATAAAAAGAAGGCTCGGGCTGCTGCGGTGGCCGCGTGGGGGGGGGGGGGGGGGGGGGGCGGGGGATGGGCGCCGGGGGGGGGCGGGCGGCGCGGCCGTCGGGGGGCTCGGGATCCGTGCACCTGCGCGGGGGGGGCCTCAGTTGCTCAGGAGCAGCTCTGTCGCCGTTTCCACGTCCCAGGATTTCGAAGACAAAGCCGCTATTACTGCATTCTGAAGGGGGGAAAGCAAGGGGTCGGTCAGACATAACTCCACTTGAGTTGTACTCGGGAGGTTAAGCGTTGGGGACGGCTCGGACCTTATCGAAGCCCATGGCGCAGAGCTTGTCTATTTTTCTGGTGTAGTCGGGGCTGGTGACGGGAGCGTCTGCGTAGACGTGCGACCACAGCCTCGCCGTCTGTTTGAACATTTCTGGGTTCTGCTTATACTGAGGGTTCAGACATAAGACCACAAAAAAAACGACAGTTATCAAAAATCTAATCCTGGGCTGAAAACACACTGATTGCTTGAAACGTCTCCCGTCGACTTTGCGATGCAAATATAAGGAAACAAGCGCCTCTCACCTGGTTTGCTACGACCGCGTCTTGTGGATCATCTGGCTCTGCGGCGGCGAGAAGGGCCTGTAGAGACAAGAGCACCGTCCGCAGGGTCATGGCAGCTGCCCTGGGTGAGACAGGTCAAAGGTTGGAGCGGGCCTCTGACCACAGCGGGTCGCAGGGCTCAGAGAGCTTCTCACTCACCACTGGTCTTTCAAAATGTCCAGACATATGGCTCCCGTCACAGAACTGATATTGGGGTGCCAGATCTTGGTGATGAAGCGCACCTGGAGAGGGAGGCGGATCGACAGTGACGGTTGAGGCTCGTGCCAGCGAGACAAAGTGCGAATGCAAATGAAAGTTGTAAACATGTTTCCATTTCAAACACAGTTTACGCTTCCTGGTCTGCGTTTATTTTCCGTTTCTCAGTCGATCGCTGCGGATCGCCACTTTAGGATTTCTGTTCCTAAAACACTCCTCATACGCTGTGATCAGAGACGCAACGACACAGTCCGCCCGTCTAGGAGGAGTTATTTAAGGCGAGCTATTAGGAGTTTGTTGGTGTTGAGAGAGCGTGATGCTCGCCAGGGCAACACAGACAAACTAGAGGACAAAGCAACCTAAAGTGTGTTGGTAGGCTGGTGGGCCATCATATGCCAGCGCACCTTTATTAACAAATTAACTATTCGAAAGGGATGGGGACAGAAACTGTCCACACTCTTCAACATCTGTTCAGCTGGACTGAGATGTAGAGAACACATCTGATTTAATACATAATTTTCTTTCAGGGACATCTTCTGCCTTACAGAAGGGGACCCCCTGCACTAAAGGGTTGGAATGGCCAATAAAAATAAAAAGTCCAATATAGTCCAAAAAAAATGTTTTTAAATATCAAGAAAAATATCCGAGCCATCTTTACCCAACTCTTTTCATCACGAAGTCTGACACTGGTCACTGACTCATTAAGCAACGATGTTGGCCTGCAGCACCCAAAGTACACATGATCAATAAAGAGCCTACAAAAAGCATGCCGTCCTTTTGTTTTCAGGATTTTCAAAACTGGTCAATCAAGGGGAATAAAGACAAAGTCAAACAAGTGCAAGCATGGGAGAGGGGGGCAGCAGCTCCTGACATTCAGAGACTCCGACTCAGCCCAGACACAGTTCCCGCTCATTTCAGTCCGCTGGGATCTCTCCTGAGCAGACACGAATCAATAAAACACACCACGCCCGACCACAAAAGCACAACAGTGGCCAAAATCTGCTTATGGTGGGCTTCTCTTTTGGTCCACAGCACATCTAGTATTTGAATGGATGCAACACACAGTGTGGAGGCCATCGCCACTTTCCATGCACACTTTACCTTGGGTGGGTTAAATGGGTAGGTTTCTGGGATTTTTATTTCGAGCTGATATCTTCCACCTTGGAAATAGAAGACAGTAGCAAAACGTCAAAGCTTAGCAAGGTAATGACAAGTCCTGCTGGGGTGTGAGTGTACCTTCATAGGGCGTGTCTGGAGGACCAGCGATCTCCCCCCTCAGCTCTGTGAAGTTCTCGTCCACCAAATCAACTTTAATCTGGTTTTTGCTTGTCTGAGAGTTGGGGGGGAAAATGGTAGAAGGGTTAAGTGGTGTCAGAGTTCCCGGTCCGTTACGACAGCTTTCAACGGGTGGGGGGTATTTGGTCACCCTTCATTTTGTAAACATGAAGTCAAGGACAAGCTAACCGCGGCCACTGATAAAAATGCCCACTTAAAAGTCCTGTTATTCACGGGAGGTGTTAGGGAAACGTTAGCAAAACAGATTGTTTTGCTCAAGAGGCTGCTCAAGCCAAAGTTGACTACTAAACCGCCAGTAAGTCAGGCAGTGGAACGAGGGTATAAACCTTTTAAATGACCGCAAGCCTTCTACGCTGAGTCGATAACAAGTTTGTTAAGTGGCGGAGCGTTCATGGACACGCCATGCTAATGCTAGCCGTACGTGAGTGTACACGTCAAGTTAAAAAAGCCTTTCCCCGAGTACGCTAAAATCTTTTGAACTGGTGTGTGTGTGTGTGTGTGTGTGACATACGGTGACGATGTGAGAGGCGTTTGCGGCAGTTCATTCAAAGTAGTGGGTTTTAATTAGGTTATTTCTTACAGGTATGCGGTATTGTTTGCGCTAAGCGCGAGGGCCTGTCAGTTGACAACCCTGAATCCCCGGTGTTTCCTGAACACACCCACCTGACACAACACGTTCGAAGCTAACGCTAGCTAAAGTTCTCCTGTTCGGGCCCGACCTGCTGAAAACATACGACTGGGACCTCACCAGGTAATTCTGTATTATCCTAACGGGCTCCTGCCAGTACACACTTTTAATAGAAACCAAAACAGATGAAATGGAAGAACAAGAATAGGTCGGAAGACAACAAAAAACAGTAACGCCAACGCACCTCCTCGCTTTTAAGAACTTCTTTGAACTCTCGCTTGATCCTTTGAACCGCGATGTTAGCCATAGCTGTGTGTCTGCCGAGCTGCAACCGCTGCCGCCGCCTCGAAGGTGGACCCGGGGCCTCTCTTTTTCCCGGTGTTCTCCGTCTGTGTCGGGCTCTCCTGGGCGTTCTCCGCAGGTATGGATCTCCTTTCACTTTCGCCGGTAAGCGCTTCCTTTGGCGTCGGAGGGAGCTCACCGCGGCCCGCCAGGCAGCGCGCAGCGTCAGTCAGTCCAGAACATGCAGCGCAGGGCAGCTGCTGCACGGAGCACAGGCTGGAACTTTCATCAGCGAGCCCGGCTCCAGTGGCGGGCTGACAACACAGGTTAATGCTCTTTTGAAACTTGCCTTCGGGGCATTTCTCGTCACGAGCCGAGCACATCTGGTTTCCCTAACACTGGGAGGATTTTTTTTACACCTGACTGCGATTTGGTGTGAGGATTCCTGCGTGAGTGTGTGTGGGTTTGGGTGATTTATATTCCAGAAAATGTCACTAAAAAGCAGCCGTTAAAGCTCAACACGTTTAGTTAAAAAAACAAAAACAAAGTTTGTATACCTTGACTGATGTGGCTGCCTAAGTATAAACTATTGTTTTGTTGTCAAATCTTTCAATTTTAGGTGATTTTTTATGCCACTTGAGACACCAAACGATTCACCTTGGTTGCTTCAGACTGAAGAGAAAAACTAATCCAACTTGCCTGTGAGACAGTATGAACCCCTGGATTTGTTAGCAACTGCGTGAAATTTCAGATATGCCCTGGTGATATTAACAATAATGAGCATTTGCAGTGCTCCCATCTGCTCATCTTTTACAGACCAACTGTACTTTGAGAGCCTGTTGGAGCACATCCACTTAAGTGTGTCTGCATTGGTCTGCTTTATTGCAGTCTGTAATCAGCCCATTGCAGAAAAATATGAAATATGCGTCAGGCCCATAAGAGAAAACACCATATTAAAATGTCTCATTCCAATTGCTTTGTTCTATTTTTACTTTAAATTGGAATTCTTTAGGTACATTATCATGCTTAATACTTTTATAGTAACTGGTCAGTGTTGCGAAATATTCTCATTGTGTCATATAGTGGTGAAAGATGTATTTAGAATGTTCAAACATAGACGATTCTTACACAGCAATGTAAGAAGCTGCAAATCAATTCCTGCCATTATCCTCAGTTCTAGAACAGAGGTGCTACAGTGCAACTGTGTGGCATACATTTGAATGAATCATATTATTGTGAGTAATATATATGCATGATTTGCAGATGCCAGAGATTAAATTCATCTTGGAATTAGGCACAAAACCTAAAAAAGGTGTATTAAAACTTTTTTAATCTTAGAAAAAAATTAACTGTAGCTATTATCATATGTTTGGTTACACAACTGCACAAATGTTTTATGGGCATCCGTATTTACAGGCAGACAGCTGGACTGTTTGTTTACTGTAATGACGACACGATTCGTAGTATGATGATTGGCTATGAGGGCCGCCCATCACATGTGTGCACCAATAGGAGACGCTTTCCTCGTATCATGCACCCTGCTCTTTTCGGGCCCACCGGGATTGGCTCCCTTGAAGTCCCGGATGTGTATCGTGAGGAACAGCTAGTTGGCTCACGTGTATTAAACAAAACACAGACGGCTGGTTGACATGTCTGCGGACTGACGGTCTCTGGAACGGCAGCGTCAGTGCAACGCAGGGCCGCTTTAGACAATTATCGTCTCTGACCATCGTAAAGGGATCAAGTAAGTCGGTTTTTTCTGCTCTGTATGCTGTCGCATATGTGTCCAACGTAGGAGTGAAAAGAGAGAAGGAAAAAGCCTGACATGAAAGGGAGTTTTTAATGGCTTTGTTGGCGAGACTAGCAAGAGGCTAGCTGAGCTAAAATGGTTCGAGAGCACAGCTTCAGCGCTGATGTGTCTTAATACTTAGTCAATAGAAAAAATGTCTGCTGCAGTACAACATTGGGTTTGATCAGAGTTGGTCTTAGTGTGCTAGTTGCTCTACAGATGTGCAGTCACCCTCCCGAGAAAGAACAAAAAAATGTAACGCATAGATGTCGGTGCTAAAACAAACAGCGTACTTGAATGCAATCATTATGGAAGTCATGTTTGGTTTTAGTTAAGCTGTGCGGGGCGTTTTTTCCTTTTAACAATGGCGTTTTCTGTTTGTTTTTTTGTCTGTTTTTCATCCACCTCAGGAAACGGTCCCTCTTCATTTCAATAATTTCCTTATTAAAAAAAACACACTATCAAAGTATCCCATCAGAGATTACCGAAATAGTGGCTTTCTTTTCATTGATGGAAGAAATATTTATTTATTTATTTTAACATACAGGGCACTTTTTTGTCTCTGTAGAGTTTGGTTGCTGTCATAAAAAAACACTCCATCAGCTGACCTTTAATCAATTTATCCAAATGTTGACAAACTAAAGAATAGCCTTTTGACGTCAATCTCGCTAACACAGACAGTCCAATTTGAATAAACAAATACATAATTTGTATCTTATTCACTGTATAATTTAGAAATATGTGTTGAATATTAAAAGTTAGGCATTTGACTAAACATCTGAGGAAACCAGCTTCTGTCATAGTCTGCCATAGATTAATATACTAGTTCAACTGTTCAGCAGGTTTTCTTTGTCGTTTGTCTTCAGTTGATGGAAGTTGCCTGCAGGCAGGTGGACACGCCACCCAAACTTTGTAATTATAAAGCCGTGTCATTATGGGGGGTGTTGCGTGTCCTTTATCATTGTCTAGCTGGAATATCTGAGGTACTTTCTGAAAAAGATTCCATATGGATGGGAGTAGTTCTCTCTCAGGCCTGAATATAGCTTTGAATTGTCTTTTCGTTGTACCAAGTTCATTTTCCCAAGGGGCACCAATGTGCAGACTTGAGCTGAATGCAAATACCAGGCTGGATGCTCTGTCTTCTCTTGATTCTAGAGCATAGAGTGTCAGTATGTTTCAAAAAGATTGTACCTATCTCTATTTGAAAAAAACTCTCCATTCCTTAGATACTTGAGTCCCTCTTTTCAGGTTCTTCCTGTGCGATATGGATGTAAAGGCGTACTTTGCATGATTAGAAACAAAAAAAAAAGCATAAGTGGAGTGAAGATCTCAGTCTTTTAAAAACGGAGGACGCTGACCTTCTCCAGCTGGGCAGTCTCCTCCCCCTCATCTCTGTGGGACAACAACAGTCCACAGCGTTAACAAGAGGAAGCATCGAATTTCTCCCACTTGTTTAGGAGCGCCCAAGTTCCATTCACTGCTTTTTGTCTCAAGGTGGATACTATCTGGTGAGAAATGGCAGAGGGAGGCTTTGACCCTTGCGAGTGCATCTGCACTCAGGAGTACGCTATGAGGCGCCTCATTAACCTGGTAAGCAACTAAACGGCGGGAGGAGGGGGGCTTCTAGAGCCAAATGAAAGTGTGGGGGGGATTAGCTCGTGCCAGAGCAGAGGTGCAGGGACAGGTGGAAGCATTCCAAGAATGTGCCACGACATGATAACGACAAGAAGGAGCGGTGAATAATCATTAAGGGGAATAAAGTTGTTCCCGTAGGACAGAGAAGGAAATGAAAAGCTACCGGGCAACTCTGAGCCAACACATCCTGGTTCTGGATCCGTGTTTGTCATGAGATCCTGCCGGCGCCGCCCCTAAGGCGACATCTCACACTGCTCCACTTTTGACAGATATGCTTTTGAAATGTGAACTAAATCCTGTCCTTCAATGGTGGACACAGAGTTTTCAAAGCAGATTCAAAAGCGTGTAAAAGGGTACAACCAGGAGTCCCTTTTTAAAGCCAGCTTCCAGATGACCTTATTTGCTTTGTGTGCTCTGGTCTAACTTGTGTGGCGGGTTGTGGTTGGCTGAACACTTGGAACCACTCCAAGCTTTCTGATTAAGCTTCCTGCATGAAAGGATGATGCCAAATTTTCCTAAAAGGCAGCATTTGCCATTTTGATTTGTATATGTCGAGCGAGCATTGTAAAACCCAGAACATCATTCTATGTTTTTTCGTATGGACCACTTTTAACGATGAGCCATAAATGGCCAGAGTGAAGAATTCTGTCATTTGATCCTTTTGTTTTTTTTTTTTCAGCTTAGACAATCTCAGTTCTACTGCACAGACACAGAGTGTCCTCAGGAGTGTATGTATCCCCATCTCTCAATTTCACCGTTTCTGCATTATAAAGCGTGAAAAATAATATTCTCAAATGAGAAATGTATGAATACGTTTGCAAAACTGGTGTGTTTCCGCGCAGTGCCAGGACCCAGCGGGACAGTGGGCGGAGGAGGTGACCTGACCCTCCCCATGGTTGTCATGGGCTGGGTGGTGGTGGCCCTAGTTCTGTTTCTGCTGCGCCCATCCAGTCTCAGGGGAGCCCGTCCTGCAGGCAAACCCACTGGACCTCGCAATGTCAGTCGCTGCTCCTTCTTGTATTACTTTATATTCATTTCAATACCTCGAAAACTGATGGTGTGCGGGATGAGAACATGGATAGGACACACCTTATCCGTTTACAGAATTAATCAGGGCACCAAGCAGATAATAAGGTTAGGATTTTGACAAAACATCTAATAAAGATAAAATATCAGAGAAACTATGAAGTAAAAAAAAAGAAAGAAAAAAAAGATTGTTAAAGAGTATAGTACCAGCCACACCTACTTCCCCAAAATTATATTCTAACAGCCTATTTTCGGTTAAGTTAAAGTTGCATACAAACTTGTTCTCATAGATTTTAAGAGAAGGAAAGCACACCAAGTGCAGCTTGGTGAAAAGGGCTGATATACAAATATGTGTATATATACTGTATATACGTATATGTCACTTGTGGGATTTAAAGATATAAACATTGAGCATTTTTGTTTTGGCTACGTGAAAAACTGAGTTTTTGTTTCTGCTGAGAGACATTAAAGAAGTTGCCCATCTCCCTAAGGTATGCAGGTTTCCTGTTCGGAACGGTTCTGTGATAGTGATGTTATTTTTAGTAAAGGAGACTGAGCGTTTTCACACCCACATTTTGAATCATCTGCTGGAACAACTGTGGAAACGCAGCCTGCTTTGGGCTACAGGCATTCCTTCATGATGAGATATGTTTTCCAGTGAAAGCCAAACAAAAACAGTTTGGACATTCTCTGACTCGGAGAGAAAAGGATAAACCCTCGTAGTGGTGAGATTAAGACTCACAGACTTATTTTGACTATTAACCTGGACACATAAGACAGTATTCTTGTTATAGTGTTTATCACCACCATCAATTCCTATTAGAATTCTTCTCATTTCTTTTGCAAAGTATTGATTGACCTTTGTGCGTTTTACAGAGTGATAGAAGGGAGCCCCCAGCACCACCTGTGGACTAACAGCGGGACCAGATCGTC